ATATATATATATATATATACACACACACATATATATATATATATACACACACACACATATACACACACACACACACACACACACACACACACACACACACACACACTATATTTACAGGGCTTATCCAAAGACTTTCTACTGGCACTACTCTTCTTTTACTGTCAAAGTGACAAAGATGAAATGAGACTTTCAGTTGGAGAAAGAATGGAGCCGAGCTTTCGTCTAACTGAAGCCGTCCTGATTTGTCCCTGTTGATGTTGTTTCTGCATATTGCCAACACCAGATGGATATCACAACAAAGTAAAAGTGAGGTGCCAATCAGTATTCGCCTCAGATACGTCGGGAGAGAGAATCGGCATCAGAGAGCACAGAGATTTCCAGTCAGATAATTCCACACTCTTTCATGTATTCAAAGTGATACACTTGAAACACCCACAACGCTGTGAACTCTACAAGGTCCCACAGAGGGATGCAGACCGAGTTCATTAAAAATAATTATTTTTCAGAAGTGGATTAGGTGGGAGACATTAGGGAAAATGTTTCCTGGATTTTTCTAGATTTAGCCGTTTACCAGCAATACGCTGACATGTCGTAACGTGTAAGAATTTGAGAAACATTAGAAGGCAAATTAAATAAACGCTCCCAGAATGCATCGAATAATTTATTGGTGGAATGTCAAACTGAAAGGCTACTTTCATTATGTGCTGAAATATTTAAGGAATTGTTTGACATTTTGGTCAATTACGCCATCTTGTTAAGAGACGAGAACTTTCTGTAATACAAATATGAAGCTAATGCCAAGATGCAGTTAGCTTAGCTTAGCATTAAAGGCTAGAATCAGTAGGAAACAGTCCAAAAGTAACAAAACCCGCCTATAGCAGTGTGTTGTTGTTCATTGTGACACATACCTGCCAAAACCTCTGTCCTCTGGAAGAGGTTTTCAGTGCGGACCTCAATGGGATCCTGGGGGGAGCCGGGGGCACTAGTCGTACTAGTCATCTGGTTCCTCTGCAAGTCCTCTGTAACTGGCACTGGTGCCTGAATGAGGAGAAGAAAAACAGGATGGATACAAGGAAGATTAAGGTTGATTAACGTTTATCAACTTTCACATTCTGATAGTCCTTGTCTGTGTGTTTAAATGACTAGTGTTCATTCAGGCGTCATGGCATAATCCCAGAATTCCTCGCTACTGTCAATATTTGAGATATAGCTTGATATTTTAGGAGATACGCCTAGTCGCTTTCTTGCTCTGAGCAAGATGAGAAGATTAATACCACTCTCATATCCATATCTGTTAGTTTAATAGGAAATTACAGCCAGCAGCCGGATAGCTTAGCTTAGCATAAAGAGGGGAAAAAGGGAAACCGCTAGCCTAAATCTGTCTAAAAGTAAGACAATCTGCCCATCTACGAGCACCTCTTAAACTCTCTTATAAACATGTTATATCTTGTTGGTTTAATCTGTTCAAAAACTGATGTCTATAAATAACAATTTGCGGTTTTACAATGGGGCTATTTTCGGGATTTCATTGCGCCAACAAACAAACAAAGATATAAACAACCAAGATATAACATGTTTATTAGTGAGCTTCTATCAGTTGACAAGGATTTTAAAACCTTTTGACAGAGGCAGGCTAGCTGTCCCCTTGTTTAAAATGTTTATGCTAAGCTAAGCTAACTGACTGTTGGTTCCAGCTGTGTGAGTGATGAGTATCAAACAAGTACTTCTAAAAATGTTCCTTTAAGAAATAAAGGGAGGGTTTCACTGGTCCACTTAGCATGGGGGTCCAGGCAAAGGAGGAGAATGGGGACCAAAATGAAACCTATAGAGGCTTGCCAGAGGAAAAAAAAATGCCCAAAAAGATTAGTGCAAGGCTAAAAAAAAAAAAAAAAGTAGTTAAAGAAAACAGAACCAGTGAACCGGAGGTTTTTCTGGGAGTCTAGGAAAAGAAGCAAAGTACCTGGAATGGATATGGGCCCATGTATCTCATGTTTTTATTTTCCTATTAACACTAGAGAAGGTTGCAAAGGACCAAAATGGAACTGGGCCAGTGCATTTGCCTTAGGGAGTAGTAACAGAGGCAGGAGAAGGAAAAAAACAATGGAACTGGGCCAGGTAGGCTTGGCTTAGAGGGTTGAGACCTTGACGACTAATCCCCAACAGATGTAGTATCCAGTACAGTAGAGTAAGAGTGCATCCCACACACAAGTTAGATCTAGGATGGTTCCAGAATATGCGATTATGTCCGAGAGAGATGTAATCCTCCATAATTTGCAATGGAGCGAAAACATTGAGAATTGACGTGAGCACTTGATCTTTATCCGGAATGCAACCTCATGGTATTACAGAGGATTTGATGACATACTGGGTCAGCTGAAGACACACCGAGCTACTGTGTCGCTCTCTGTTGAGTACATAGTTACAAATGACTTTAAGTGGTTTTATGTCCTACACACCTAATCATAAAGCAAGAGTGGAAATGTTTGTGGACGTGACAGCGGAATAGTTTCATATACTTTAAGTATTGAAATGTACTTTAAAAATTGTGATTGTGGAATTTTAAGATGCTCAGAGCGCCATGTGCTCAAGGTGGAGCATAAACACATGTGGGAATATCAGCAGGATCACATACGTTGTCAAATACAGAATTTCTACTTAAAGAAATGGTTCAAAACAGTGGAAAATATGCTTCTCTGCTTTCTTGCCCGAGAGTTAGGGAGATGACCGATACAACCGTCATATCTTGATACGAAACTACAGCCGAGCAATGTTTAGTGTAGCTTGACACAAAGACCGAAAGCTTTAATGCTAAGCTAAGCTAACCGTCTCCTAGCTCCAGCTTAATATGTCACAGACAAACGTGAGAGTGGTGTCGATCTTCTTGTCTCAATCTCAGTAAGAGAGTGAATTCGTGTATTTTCCAAAATGTCAAAACTATTGCTTGATTTCCAACAGTCAAAACTTTCTGCCATCTCCAAATATCTGATAGACCACGCTGGTTTAAACAACAAACAAGCTTTCCTTTGGTATCATATCTACAAAATCATTGTAGTTTTTTAGGATTTTTTAGGGCCGTCACTATCATGTAGTTTGTCAAGCAGAGAGTAGTAGTACATTTATTTTTGAACTGTAAAATGTCCTGCCCCGTACATTTCCTGGTCACAATTGTAAAAAGGAAAAGAGCAATTTAATGGTATGTGATCAAAAACGTTCTTTGTAGGACCGATATATCATTATCAGAATTTATAGAAGCTGTATCAGACTAAATGATTGAGCGTGGGTCGGGCAGTACCACTTACCTCTGTTCTAAATGGTTTCTTGGGCGGGCTGTCCTTGGCCTTTTCTCTGACCGTGGCCGTCTCCACCCTGGGCGTGAAATCTTTGGTGGCGTCCTGGGTGGGTTCTGCTGCATTGGGCTCGATATAAACCATACTGACAGTCACCGTCTCCTCCACCACTACTTCACCTCCACCTTGGAGACAAACAGGGAAGTGATGTCTTTCAATTAAAAAGGCGAGAGTGTAAAGAAAATGGCAGACATGTTTGCTCTGTAGAGATGACGTAAAAGATTATGTCGTGTGTATTTGCAAATAGGTAAAACATGGACGTACATGCTATCAATATTTCACACCCACCGTCGTATAGTTCGTCTTAACTTCGTTCATTTCAATGCATTATTTACAGTTTGTATCTCCAATAAAATAGAGTGGCAGATTGATAGGGTGTATATACAGTATTGGAAGAGCTATTGATCACAGTCCTTTCTCCTTTGACCTAAAACGACACTCTCTCACTGCAGCTCTACAACTCTCTCGGATAGAAGAGTTACTTTTGACAAATGAATGAGGGCTGTAAAGGTGCTGAAAGCAAGTGGAGAGGAGCTCATAAAAAAAAGACATGTAAAATTTGCACACTTGCCCACAGCATGTCTGGGTAACAAAGCAATCTCAGAGAAAGAGAGAGGCGGTGAAAGGAAGAACAGACAAAGACAATGGGAGAAAGGAGAGAGAGGTAAAGCGAGAGAGGAGGGAGGAACTCGGAAAAAAAACACTCGCAAAAACTTAACCGCAGAGGACTCGGAAAATTGATGTCGTCGTCGTCACACCTCTGGGTAATTACCTGCTGAGCTTGCAAGTGAGTAATGCGGTGAGAGCATGCGTGCGTATATGCGGGTCTTACCTGAGCCAGACCCTGAGGAAAAGTCGTCATCGTCTTCAGGGTAGTAACCTCCTGAGCCTGTGTCGTCCAGGTACAAGTCATCCGCCTGAGAGGAGGTCTTGGCTGCGTCTGCTATCTGCGAAAACCACAAGATGGAATGATTTTGAGGACGTGTGTCGGCGTTATTACTCATCTATATATAAAACACATTTTAGGACGTTAATGAAGAACAGGTGACCGTCCAATCACAACGTGTAGCCCCTCCCACGGCACCGTTGTTGTCTAGACAACAAGCCCGAGTGGTGGGAATGTTTGTGCTTCAGCTTAATGGAGTGATTGGCTGAAAAGACCACAGTTCCAACAGTGCCTGCTTGTTTAAAAAGCACCTCCTCACAGGGAGTGCAAGTTGAGATTTTAAAAAGAAATAAAACAAGAAAATGGAGTTTTCAGTCAAAGTGGCTCGCAGAGCCTGATGTATGTTGGACACTTAAGTATAACAAATATAAAAACTGTTTGTACAAAGTCTTTGTGTGGTGCATGGGACTATTTATATGTTGCCGTTGAGTGTGTGTGACTGGAATAGCTATAAACGCATCCATGGCAACACCTATTCACCAATCTGTGGTCAGTTGTACAGCCCCTTCTATACCGATAGTCCCGCTTTAGAGAAAAAAGAGAACAAAAGAAAGACACAATATTATCTCATCTGTGTTTGAGTGTGTGTGTGTGTGTGGGGTTGCTACAGTTGCAGGTCTGCTCTGAGGATGTTGTGCTGATAAACCCGGGCCTGAATGAAGTTGGATTGAAGGATATAATCAATTGGCTTGACAGGAAATAAGTGTTTTTGTTTGTTAACTGCGAAGAACAGGCAAGCTGTGAGAGAGAGCTTAGAAAACGGGTCAATAGAAATGAAGAAAAATCATGTTTTCCGACGTCCTTTGTTTGGACAGGGGGGGAAAGCAAGTAGGGCTGTTTTCATTATCGAATAGTCTGCGTGAATTCATGTTTTCAAGTCTGTAAATGATCTAGACTGTCTCTGGGTTTCAGTATTCCTATTTCCCCTGGCTGCAATTTAAAAAGCAAATAAATAAAAATAAAAATTCTGAAAGAATTTCCTAGAGATCAAGTAGCATCTTCCGATAGCTCATTTTGTTCTCGCAGCAGTCCAAAAGACAAATATAGTAGATTTATTTATATTTATAAAGATATAAAACACATAAAATGCTTGATAAATGACAATAATGAATTGATTATACAGGTTATTGCAGATAGGGATGCTCCGATCCGATACCGATATGAAGAATCATGACGAAGAATTCAACGACAGTCAATCCTTAGCAAACTCCAGTATCGAATCGGTATTCTGTACCGACCCAATACCCAGAAGCCCAGGCACCGTTATCAGGACTGCAAAAGTGGGATCGGTGAATCCCTGGCTGCAGATTAGAGTCTGTCCAATCACTCGGTGAAGGAACAGAGAACAGAGAACAATGCCTTCTTTCAGGTACGTCTCAGCATTTCCAATTACACCCGCTATTCTTATGTGAGCGTGTTCACTAACGCGTTTCAGTCATTGTATGTGCACATGTGTGTGTGCTTGTGTGGAGTAATGAGAGAGACAGAGAGAGAGAGGCCTGGTGCTCTCCATAACAAAGAGGCAGGGAGTACACACAGCGAACAACAGTGTGAAAGAGCAAAAAAAGAAAGAAAGACAGAGGCGAGATGAAACGGAACAATACGGATCTCCATCTCTCTCCCTCTGACTTCTGTTAGAAAAGGCCTTTTCACCGCTGAACCGCCTGATCAAAGGCGGAATTTGTTCAAAGCAACTTTATCTTAACCTTTCTTGCCTTCGTTCTCCTTCCAAACACAATCCCCCCCCTCCCCCGCTCCAGCCCGGCAGAAGCAATTCACCGGTCCACAGGTCTTTATGCATTGGCGATATGAGCACAATGGACCACGAGGAGAGCAGGCCACAGATCAAATGGTGACCAAGGGCACTAATGAGATAGAGGCCACACACACACACACACACACGCTTTACAAATGTATGCAAGCTTTCACTCATTCACTGATTATACATACATTAGAGTGAGCAATTGAGCATATAAATGGACACACACACACACACGCACACGCACACGCACACAGGAAATGTGTGAAGAAATGCATGAAGAGCTAAAAGTATTAACAATGAATCCCCTCGAGCCCATTAAACAAAAGATTTCAAAGACATTTTAACTATAATGAATTAGCGTTCACCTGATTTGTGAAATGAATAAATGGATGATATGCAGATCGCTAACTATAGTTTTATGTATTCTATATTTTACCAGGAATCCCTTAAGATACTATTTAAGGGACGCAGCTAACGCCTCCATTCATTATCGAATAATTCTCTCGATTAATCAAATAGTGAAAATAAAATTGGTAAGTAGTGAGCTCCCTTGGAAAGAGTCAGGCTAGCTGTTTCCACCTGCCTTCAGTCTTTGTGCTAAGCTAAGCTAGCTGGCTCCTTCTGATCACCATAGAGACGTGAGAGTGGGATCGATGCTCTCGTCAAACTCTCCTTAAACGTTGACAATAAGGCCAAATCCAACAGAGAGAAACCTTTGAAGTTTCCGCACTGAGGTACACAAAGTGTCCACAGGCCCGCTTCATTCCAGACGTGCACGTACAAAAGGCCGCTGACTCCACTGTCTCGTCGCCGTGTTTCAACACTTTTGTGCAAAGTATTGCAGCAACACGACATCAGTGCAGATCTGAGAGGAGGTCCGACCTCGATAAACTTCACAGACCTTATCCGACACACTAGCAAGTGTGTGTACAATGTAAACTTGATGGAGCCGACTTTCTCCGTCACTAACACACACACACACACACACACACACGCCTGTGTGCGATAAACTTCTCCCTCTTTATCAATCCGGTGACATTTACAGGTAGTCTCTCTGCTTTCAGCCCTCATCAGCGACTACGAGCCGATTCAGACATAAATCTGCCGACAAGTAGAGCGAAGTGGACTCCTGAAACCAGTGAGCTGACGGATGAGGCCTCCCAGAAGTCTGAGAGAGTTTGCTCCACTATTGCATGGCTGCTCTAGTTTAAGCAACAGCTATTCGAAAAAAAAACAATCTTGTAGTTACTTGTGATTCAGGGCAGGGAGCTTGTAAAATGGATCCAGTTGGAAATATCTAATTTAGGGACTTATTAGTGGTTATTAATGTTAGATTTCCGAAAGAATTAGTTAAGAAACCAAAACAGTGCTCCTTTCCTCATTTTCTATGTGCTCTCGTTAACTAAATCGGAAAGTGAATGTGATAATGTTTTGAGAACCGGTGAAAATAAAACCTTTAAGACCTGCAGGACCTCATCAGTGAAGAGGTGGGTCTCCTCTGTGCGCTTGCATACGAACCAAACCTGATCAGTGAGGCAAGCCCTCGCAAATCAGTAACAATTTCACTGGTTCGCCTCCGAGTTAAATCACCTCCAATCCACAGCTCACAAATACTTCACTATGACAACCGCTATCAAACACCGAGCGATCCCTGGGAATTTACACACCTCAAAGACGCACTCAGTCGCTCTTCATAATAAGGGTTAACTCTCCACTAGTCCTGCTTTGACAAGTGTCACTCTCCGAGCTCGAGCTAAGAAAAGAAAAGGCTCACGCTTCAGAGAGAAGCACTAGGAGCACTGAAGCAGAGGGAGGAGGACACATCAGTTTGTGTGCAGTGCAGCGTAAAAGGCACACATTCTCAATGCCGCGCGCCGCCTTTGTGTGCAGCGACACACAACTCCCTCACCCTCAGAGTTCCTGACTCAAAACTCTAGTTACAGTCGGCTTTGGCGTGGCCTTCCTGGAGATATCCGACTCTTTTCATCCTTTTGGGTGAATAACAAGTAAATCCTTACATGCACGCTCAGACTCGAGGACACATATGGGTATTTGCACATGCACAAAAAACACACACACACCCTCATTTGGACACCTTGACAAGCAGATCCTACATAGTCTGACTAAGCTTAGAGACGGAGACAGGGACAGACACGCGAGTGAGAAGGAGGGAGAGCTGCCATAATGAGCTAGCAGCTAGTGATGTGTGCCCTCTATTAGCTGCGCGAAGAGCCGCGGTTACACGGCATTTCTAACCGCTAATGAAGTAATAAGCCAGCGGGAGGGCAGCTTCCACACTGTCTGTCTGTGTCTCCCCGTCACTCTCTCTGTTTGACATGAAGAGCTGCAGACCAAGTCTGGACAAAACGTAGATGAGAAGAGGCTGGGAGAGGAGAGTGGGAGATAACAGAGAGAGTGGGGGATGAGAAAAGAGAGGGAGGGAGGGAGGGAGGGGGATAACCCGCTGCTGCAGACAATCCTGTAGCCTGGAGGTTGCTCTGCTAAGAGCCTGTCAAAATCACCATGTTCATGCCTGGCGGGGCTTGAAAGGCGCTGGGCCTGTGCATGCTTACAGTATGTGTGTGTCCGTGTAATATTTGCGTCTCTCTCTCTCTCTCCTCCTCTCTACATATAAGAGATGGATGGTGGTGATACATATAGAGTCATCTGAACCAACCGTGGGCTCCTAACAAATATTAGCTCAACTCCAAGTCAGGCCAGGGGAAATGGTGTTCCTCAGAGGAATGCACACACACACACACACACACACACACTTGAACATCTGCGTGTCCATGAAAGCACCCACGGGACACACACACACACACACACACACACACACACACACACACACACACACACATCTCAAAGGCGTGAGAGGAGTACACAGACACACACATCATAACACGGACTTCAGAGAGAAGAAAAAGGGAAAAATAAGTGCACGGAGGCTGGCAGACAGACAGCGTCTCAGATCCTCCGTCGGTCCGCTGTCGTGTCTGCCGGGGATGGGATGATTGACACCACCCTCGCATCTGTATAAAGCAGGCATGTAGGTAAGTAAGCATGAAGCTGCATCCCGGGAGACGGTTAGCTTAGCCTAGCATGACGACTGAAAGCGGGGAGGAAACAGCGTTTGTGGCAGTTTTATGGAGGGTTATGTGCTGGACTTTGGACAAAACAAGCAACTTGAAGATGCTGCTTTGATAAAAAACGATTAATTGATAATCAACGATTGTTTT